TGATACCAACTACGTGCTATGGCTACTGAATTGGAATCCTGTGAATTTTAACATCTCATGATTCCAATTTCATGCCAACATCAATTCTCGTGGTGATCATGCGCGCGCATTTCTAGTTCGGTGATTTTACGTTTCTGGGGTCTACCACGGACTTACTAAAAAATTTCGGGCCGACTGTACCCCAACCAAGTTTTGTTGTGGAAGGTAATGAATAAGTCCATTTTTATTATTTTTGTTATTAATCGGCATCTGCACACTCATCATAGCATTTCTTACGGTTAAGATGGCAGAGGAGATAGATGTAATCGATATCTCATTAACAACTTGTAATTGTGAAAGAGATTTGGTTATCAAGCAGAGTATTATTGATAAAGCACCATTTGACATGCTCAAAATCGATGATCCAAGTATACTTAATACTTTCGAGGGGCGAGAAATATGTGGGGGATGCTACAAGTCGCGGAAATTTTTCTGTTATACTTGTTGTGTGCCTGTCATTGATAAGAAGTATTTTCCACAAGTTAAGGTATGACATTCTTGCATTACACATGGTATTATTGTATATTCATCTAAATCTCAAATATCAGTTATTTCTAATTCAATTATTTCTTATTGATTATAGTTGCCAATCAAGATTGATATAATTAAGCATCCCAAGGAAATCGATGGTAAAAGTACGGCGATTCACGCCATGCTGCTGGCGCCACAAGACGTGAAGATTTATACATATCCTGATTTTCCGGAGTTTGCGAAAGATGATAAGGTAATGATCGATTTTTTAACAGTTCAATCAACGATTTTCATACTCAAAACTGAATCATCTAAATACTTAATTTATAATAGAATCATACAATTAATATCAGAGAGATCGAGGAAAAAATTAAGGCTCGGGTGGATTATCTAGAAAAGATAATTTACTCCGAAATTCGGATTCCTAATTCCTTTGGCAATTAATCGTTTTTTTTTTTCAATAATTATTAGTTAGCGTTCTAGCGGTTGCCAACAACTAGGCCGCTAGCTAACAATTCTCGGAAAAAACGATTAATTGACGGAGTAATTAGAAGTCCCAATTTTGGAGTAAATTATCTTTCCCAGACAGTCCACCCGAGCCTTAATTAATTAAGGCCCTTAAGATGAATGGGAAATTTCCGTACTAGGGAAACTGCTTTAGTTGACCCTCTTTACTTTAATTACTTGAACAAAGTATCTCTTCCATTATGATTGCTTGGATTTATGCTTCTGAATGGAAGCGTTGCAATTGCTCAATTTTCACTTTTTCCAATTTTCCTTGTAAATTATGTAGAATTGTCTGAAATGCAAAAATATGAGGTTTGGGCACCATGTTTGTATGCAGTACTGTGAAATCCATGGGAAAATTCAACCGGAAATATCTGAAATTCGGGAGTTGATTCTAGCCATCGGTTCTGTAGTTTCTAAGAAAAAATCATTGGTTTTATGTCACTCGGCCCGCCCTACCCTCGTACTTTTATTGCCCTAGGGAGGTAAGTAGCTGCGTGTCGCCTTTCTTTTTATTTACTTCCCTTGGGCAATAAAATTACTCGATTAGTTGGGCCTCGTAACATAAAGTAACATATGCCACACGGCCTGAAAAGTATTTTACCAATATATTTGATAAAATACATTGCCAAAATACTTTTCAGCCCTTGCAACATAAAATACTATGTTTACATTTCTCTCAAGAATCTCTCATCAATCTGAAGAAATAATCAGCCAATTACGTTTTAAAAAAACTGTTTCTCTTAATTCCGTCTATTTCAAACAGTCTTACCCGTTCATGTAAAGCTTTCGAGATAGTAAGGCTTTTATATTTTTCACAAAAAATAGTTTTTTACGACGTAGGTCCTCAAAATATATATATCCAGGGTAGCATGGGCTATTTATCGAACGTGCTCTTTCAATTCTATCTGGTTAGTTAGCCTAGATTGCATAAAAATTTGCGATCGAGTTTGTGTTGCAGGCAGCACTTGAATGGTTATAAAAAGATAATTTAAAACAGCTTCCGGTGTGTTCACCGAGTCAGTGTGACTGATGAACACAGCAGAATCCCCGCAGTACCGGCCGGCTGCGCTACTGAGGTTTTACATGGTTTCCCTCAGTACACGCCAAATGGGCGCAGTACAGAAAGTCGGCCCATGCTACCGCAAAAATAATGAGAGGATAGTAGGAGAGGCTAATGAGAGGATAGTAGGAGAGGCTAATGA